CTTTTTCTGATGAAGGGTCGAGGCCCGAAACGTCAGCCTTTCTGCTCCTATGATGCTGCTTGGCCTGCTGTGTTCATCCAGCCCTGCACCTTGTTGTAACAAGATTCTCAAACCTGTTAGACAAGCTCAAGGCTCCTTCAGTGCTACCTCCTGGATCCCTCTATCTGACTCAGTCACAGTCACACCCTCCTAGCCCCAAACACTGACCAAATTCAAAGTAGTTAATCTAAGGAGTATGACTGTCTCCTGAAACACAGCATGCAGGTATCTCTCCCTCTCATTATGTATTGCCAAACCTCAGACTCCAGTCCATCCAGTGTGAGCTGAAGTTTCTTGAGAAACTAACATTTGGTTCACTGTGTACCAACAAGGGGGCCCATCAGCTCCCACAACATGCAGATACAACAAAAACTGAAGTTTCTGGAAAAGCTCAGCAGGTTTATTAACAGCTAAACTAACATATACAGAACAAACTAATCTCCAGACATAACCCATGGTCATGTGCTAATATCCACGTTCTTGGCATATTTGCATGTTGAGCTCTGAAAGTGACATCGCTTCGAAGGTGATGATTTTGATGGATTTTCTTCATCGGCAGCAATGGCATTGACGATGCCGAAGTGAGCCCAGCGCAGACTTGTGACGGAGGCCTTGGAGGTGAGTTTGGGTCCCCTGTGGCTCATGGTGGTTTCGGCAGAGGTGAGTTTTGGCCCTGTACGAGACCCAGTGGTGGCTGCATCGGTGAGTTGGGCCCGGAATGGACACTTGGTGAAGGCAGCAGTGACGAGTTTGGGCCAAAGCGGGACCCACTGGCAGTTGTGGCGGCTGTGTTGGCATGGTTCAGCGAGGGCTCATGGTGGCAGCAGTGTTGGTGGAGGTGAAATGGCGCCAAAGGATGGTGACTCTTGTTCCAACAGCACTGAGAGGGAACCCATAGCTGGCCACTCCAGGCCCATGGCTCAGCACTGATCAAGAAGGACTTTATTTGTTTTTTTATTTTTCTGCCTTTATATTCTATGTTTTATTATTTTTCTGTGTTTTAAGATGTTGCTGGAGAGTGCAGACACTATACAACACTTTTCGCTGTATTTTGTAACAAAATACAGCTGCTGTTAAAAAATGATTATTCCAGATTAATTGAATTATTACTACACATGACAACAAAGAAATCAAATCAAACCAAATCTGAATCCCATGGATTTTGGAGACTTTTTCAAAGGCAGTAATAGTCATAGACTGACAGGGAGTGTAGGAAGGAACTTAGGGATGTACTTGAGATGGCTGCACTTTGATTATTGAGCAAACAGAGATGTGGCACACAGCAAAGTTAGAATTGGGTTTGGCCAATGGAGCCATTTAAGGGTGGAAGTTTTGATGCCAATGCAGTTGAGATTGAAATCAACAATGGTGATAGGTCTGTGAGACTAAGGATCAGTTTTATTAGTTGTGAGTGTGATAGTAGTTGGAATGCAACAGAGATGGAAATCAGCAGTCCTGGTGATGAATAGGATGTCAGGTTTGAAGTTCACATTAAGGTCAAACAGGATACTGAGGATTCAACGTTCAGCTCCGTTTACTATTTTCAACTCAGTGTGATGGCTATTTTGTTGCCACAGAAAACCGTTAGTGCAAAGGTCTGTGTTTGAAAAATGGTGTATTGGGATTTAAGTACTTTTTGTTCTCTCCTTTCATTCCAATTTCTCTTGCCGAGAGGTGGCATGGTACAGTTGAGTTTTATTCAAGATTGTTAAAAGTAATTTAAAAATACAGATGCGAGATAAGCTGGGTTCCAATACAAACTTGATAGATAGCTACAAGTCCACTTCAGAAAAATAACAAAACATTTTAAAATTATTGAAGCTGTACTTCAAAAATATTACCACAACAGAATGTAGCTCTTGTATTAAGTAGATGATGTATGTTGTCCTGGTTTAGAAACACTTCTTCTTCAGTTAATCTGGAATAATCATATATCAAATGAGAGAGTATAGACTGCAGTAATTTTCATTGAAATAACTCCTATGTTTCAGGCCTGCACAGATTATTTTGCACAATTTTAATTTGCCGCATTTGACAACAGTCTATACAGTATTGTAGAAGATCCAATGTTTAGTTTATTAATAAATAGAGCTGCATGGGTAAATTCAACAGGCTGTCAGTCAATACTTGTTGTAAGTAATTATTAGTTTTTCTATCCAGTGCATCTTCTACATAAACAACACATTTCTGTTTAGCCAATGGTCGCTAATGCATAAGAGTCTCAAGGTAGCTGAAAGGATCATTTAGCCTCAGTTATAAGAGATGCTTAAAAGGATTTGTTCTAAAATATAAAAGAAGCCAGAATGACTTGAAGAGAACTGTCAATGAACAAACAATGGACTTCATCCCTAGTCATGCAGCTTGACATATGATAGTGTCTCTGATGCTGTTGTCATGGCAGTGAGCGTGTGGGTTTTATGCATGCATTTTCTGCTGTAGGAATTTGATTAATGGCATTTGTTTCATGTCTGAAAATGTGTGTTTCTGGTTTTCTGCTTGAATATGCAGCTCACACTGTGACCTCTCAGTTGAAAGAGAAAGATATTTTCCAAAATCTTTGTAATATTCTTTAAAGTTTAGGGCCGATATAAAGCTGCTGTTTATGGTTAAATGTGGATGCTAATACTGTTTCACATGTCTGCTGAGATTAAACTCTGGGATCCTCTTTATGGTGTCACTGTTGATCAATGAAATCTGAATGAAATACTGAGCCCCTACAAATGCCGCAGTTTATTCAAATTACACAATAGCTGCTATTTGCACATAATCAAAGAGAATCTAAACATGCTTACCGATGCACAGCAGTATGGCTGAAGTACAAGAAAATGTGCAAAGAGGCACAAAAAAAGGTTTTGAGTCTACTTGTTTTATTTTGTATAAATTGAAGCGAAGTCTAAAGTTTCTACACCTGCCTGTAGTTTGGTCTGAATTAGTGTTCAGTTGAGCTCATTAATAACAGTGATGAAAGAAGAAACCACCTGATGATTTCCTTGAATAAACACAGCCATTTTCATAGAAACCATGGATGTGTTAGTTTTCATGGATCAGTACGATTGAGTGTAATTTGAAGTTTAATTTTTTCTGCATCCTGCCCTATTATTGCAGCTGATGGACTCCACGATAAATGGTTAGTATTATTCAGATGGAAAACATAACAACTGAAATGTCTCCCTGCCACCAAAAATTTCAATTTTGATATAATTTTAAAATCATGAGGCTCATTTCTGGGTCAACCATATCTATGTTTAATTTCTACTAAAATGGAATAGAACTGCTGATTTCTACACGGGGTGTATATTTTATAAAGAGGGCTTACATTTTTAACGGTTCCACATTATTATAAACTTGCACCAACCATAAATGGCCCCGATTTCAAAAATGTCATTTGTTACTGTGAAATTTTTGAACATATTAACCTGCATAATTGTATAACTCAGGAATAGAAGAATAGTATTACCTAGGGCCAAGAAATGGGCATGAGGGTTGAAAGATGATTCATAGAATCCCTACAGTGTGGAAACAGGCCCTTCAGCCCAACAAGTGCACCATGACACTTGGAGCATCCTGGCCAGACACATACCCTTATAACCCATCTAATCTACACACCCCTGGGGAATTTAGTATCTACCTAGCCTGTACATCTTTGGACTGTGGGAGGAAACCAGAGCACTCGGAGGAAACCCACGCAGACATGGGGAGAATGTGCAGACACCACACAGATAGTCGCCCGAGGCTGGAATTGACCCTGGGTCCCTGGTACTGTGAGGCAGCAGTGCTAACCACTGAGACACCGTGCTGCCCTCTGAATGAGGTACTTCATATGTTAAAGGGATTTGATTGGGTACATACAGAAAAAGTATTGCAGCTTATGGTGATGTGAAGAACAAGGGTCATAGCAGAAATCTGGGGCAAGGATTCGATTTTGAGGTCAAGGCCCTGATACTGGGATCAAATGCTGATCCTGAGCGCACACTGTGCCAGAAGTAATTATCCAACTCAAATCGCCACTATTTTTTTTCCCAGTTACTCGCCAGTGAGGTCACTTGATCTCCAATCAAGGGTGTCATGTGGTCTCCCAACACTGAGGCAGGAATGGCCCTGAGAGAGAGAAGGAAGTGCCCTCTCAGTTGAGGGCGCCTCCCTCCTCAGTTCAGCCTGAGGCCACAGCAGTAAGCAGCTTTCTTCACCAACAAGGGAGAAGGGCTTTAAATTATTCTGCAGCACTGGCTCAGCCAGTCTGTCTTTGAAATTCACCACCACAATCCACCACATTAGGGGGTCCATAACAGACCCCTTAAGTGGTTCAATTGGCTTCCCATCAGTCATAACACCTCTGCCCCAGCCTCCTTGGGAATAACCTGGGGGCAAGAGAATGCTGACAAACCAATACACCTCTCTTACTCTGATGTTTCAGCCCAGACTACACGTGGTTCACCTCCACTGTGATTTGAAAACCTGGCCTCTGGAACCATTACGCCCAAAAAGCTATGGATAGGGGGAACAGATGGAATGTTGAATGCTGAAGGTTTTTTGTTAAACATAGCAAGGAATCGAGAACTAAGTTGGGTAAATAAAATTAAACTGCATATTAGCAGCATTTTGAATGGTGAATCAGATGTGAGCGCTGAACGGTCTACTCCTGTTACTATGTTCCTTTGGACATGGCCAGACACAAATTGAAAAGCTTCTTTGTTTTGTAGCAAGGTCACCATTCAGAGCAGCTTGTTAATTCAATCTGTTCAGTTTATTATTGTATAAGCCCACGTGCGTGGATGATTGAATTTGGCATTTAAAAATTGCATCAAACTTCCATCCAGTATTTCTAGCCTCTTTGCCATTGTCCAAATCTTCATAGATTTCCCTGTAATAAACATGACTGTGCACGACTTTGTTGTTTTAAAACAATAAACTGGGGTAAAAATTGGTTTGTGCTGTCTTTTGGCAAAATGGTAACAATTCATTGCCTGCATGCTTGTGTTGCTTTGGAGGGAGGGATATATGAACTTAGTACTGCCTTTCCATTTTCCTGATTACAATGTTGGTCCAAGCAAAGCCAACTACTGGTTAACTGAGTATTCAGCGGGGGCCTGAGCAGTGTTTGCAGATATTTCATGATGGAGACAGTCTGCCTTTCAGAAGAACAAGCATCCCTCTTAAGATGAGGCTGCACTGAATCACAGGAGATAGCAGTTGAGTACTTTTGCTGTAATTCGAAATAGCAGAAGTGAAGCTCCAGGAGAAGGGGAGAGTTCACAGCTGAGCAATTGGAGCACTTAGCAGTGAAGGTTGGCAGGAGGTGAGAGGTCATGTTTCTGAGGAGGGCCAGGACTGCGCAAGGACCACTCTCAGAAGGAAATGATAGAAGTTGGATAGGGAAGTCAGTCCCCACTGTATGGAGCTGAGAACTTGACAACAGTGCCACAAGAAGCTGCATGATCTCACTTTTAGCAGAGCTTGAGGGGTGAAGAGGTGTGTAAGGTTGGGGGTGGTACGGAGAGTCCGCCAATAATATATCTTCATGTGACATTTCATTCCACTGCTCCTCCAGCCTCTCCCACTTCTCAATACATCATATCCTCCATTACTTAACTATTAGCATTACCTTGCATTCAGGGATCAGGCTTAACATCGAGATAGTCCATCACACCATCACACCCATTCTAATGATAACACCTCACACCCAGCTCCCATATAGTTTTTTATGTTATATAGTTTAAATATTCGCCAAACACAAGGCAATAGAATCACTAACATTCTTCCTACTGTCTCTTTCAGGACAAAATGTCCCATTAACAGGATGGAGGAGGATAGAACCAGTGGAGGATGAGTGCTTGTATCTCTTGAGTCCTCTGGAGGAGATGGTTCTCTACATTATGGACCAGCTGTGACATAAACCATGAGATTGAATGTCACCGAGAACTTTGAAGATATTGGTCTGCTAGTGACTTACTCTCTTCTTCAACTTTCAGCTCTCTGTTGTATTGTTATGTGGCATAATGGACAAGGTGAAATGAAAGTCCTCTTGCTTTTCACTTACCCTTTAACAGGAATCTCTAAATACTTCAGTGGGACACCATGCAGGAAAGTGCAGATGGCCATAAACAACAGAATGATGAATACATTGGATGATCTGCGAGACAACCATCTGTCACAATGATAGAGCACAGACTAGTCTGGCTTCAAGCTGGAAGAGGGGAATTGTGGAACTTGCTCTCTGCACAACCTCATCTCCATTTCCCTGTCATGCTGTAGACTGAGAGGCATTGCAGCTGTGGATCCAAACACAATGCACCAACTGGACAGAATCTTGTATGTTTCCAGATAGACAATGCCAAGAAAAACGTTTGGTAGATCCTTCTTGTCATTGGCAAGGAGGGTCTTCACAGAATTAATACAACTGGTGTTTCCATGGACATTCAAAAAGCTCCAGAAAATGATCTGGGAAGTTCTTAAAGACCAACTCAAGGTATAAAACAACTTCAGAATGAACAGACTCCAACTCATGTCATAACAGAGAGAAACTCCAAGAGTCTGTTGACTAGTTTGTTGGAAGATGCTGCAGCAAAAGGCATGATGTGAGTTTGCCAAAGAGGAACTCTCAGAGAGGTCCCTTGAATTAGCTATTGTTTCCACACCATTTGAAACTTTTAGGAAGGATCTTGGCCATAGCTATTGACTCATTACTTGAGGGTAGATGCAGGTATGAAGCCATAGTGCAACAATGATGTGCTTTATGTGCAGCCAACACTATTGCTATGGACTGGAAAGTGCATCAAACCAACAAAATCTGTAACAGATGTGGTTTGTTGCATGTCCTGTTTTTCTTAGTTTCTGCAAAGCAAGTGAAACCAGGAGATCTTGGTGCAGGAAACCTAATTCCAAAGATCAAACCAAACCACAGAACTGAACATGTGACCAATAACATTGGTACAATCACAACACTGGTTGCAAGGAAAGTGTTAAGAAATCACACAAGTGCAAGCACATCGATAAGGTTCAGAGGCAATTATTGAAAGGGAAATTTCAGAAGCTGATGAAGCTTTTCACACTGTTGACCTCACATACCACATCAATGATGTAAGACCATCAGGAGCTTTTACAATGATTAATACCATATATCCAGAAAAGAAAGGACAGCACTTCCTGCTGTAACTCTCAGATTTGCAATCTCTGAGGTACATTCGAAGGATCCACCTGCTGTCTCCATGCTGACTGTTTCTCCATGAGGGTGACACTGTTTTAACTTGGGCTTCTACTTACAAAATGTCACTGTCATTGAGCCTCCTGGCGGTCACTCACTCACTCACACTGTCACACTCACACACTCATTACTCTCCTCCCCAGTTGTTGCTTCAATTGTTGCAAGAGGAGCAATACTGCCGGAACAACTCCAAACAGCATCCCTCCTGCTGTGAGTGAAATAAAACATTGAGGATGGGCTTCAACTGAACGTAAACTTTTCAAATTATGCACAAATGCAGCTTTAAATATAAAGGTACCTGGTGCTAAAAGATATCTTGAGTCCTGATAGAAAAGAAGCAGGGGCTGAGAGAGTCAGCTTTTCTTTGTTAAGGTGTAATGTTATCTTAATAGTTACTGTGGTCATGTGGAGCGTACAGATCTGTCCAACATTGAACACTTTGGAGTTCTTACAAAATCTCCCCATAGAGATAGGGGGCAGAGCTGAGTATGGTGGCCATCACCAAGGAAAAGGCGCTAGTAAAACTGATTGGCCTGAAGTGGATAAATCACCTGGACCAAATGGACTACACCCCAGAGTTCTAAAGGAGACAGCTGAAGAGATAGTGGAAGCGTTAGTGGTGAACTTTCAGGAATCGCTACAGTCAGGGAAGGTCCCAGAGGGCTGGAAAA